TTAAAAATATAAATAATATTTATTTTTTCAAAATTGTCATTTACAATGTAACATAAACAAAAATATTCAAGTATATAAATGTGATTCCTTCGTACAATACTTAACAACTAATTTTACCAATTATTTTTTTAAAATTTTAGACATATATAATTTTAGTTACTTAAATATAAATGGGAACTTTTATAAATTGTTAATTTAAATTTAGTTACTTATAGATGTAAATTTTAGTTACTTAGATTTTTCTTCTTTTTTTTTTCAATTATAATGAGAGTTATTGCAATTGCTCACATTTGATTATTTCTTAAAAAAAAAAATGTTGATGTCTTGTTATTAGCTTTGTTTATATGAAGTTAACTTATTTGCTCAATTAATAAATATTTTTATTTTATTATTATTATATATTTTTATTATATTTTAAATCACTTTAATAAATATCTAAAATATTAATTATTTGTATAATCTAAAATAATTATAAATTAAACATAAGAATGATAAATTATATTGATGTCTGTTATCATCCGACTCGGCAAGACGCTGTTAAGAGGTTTTGAGCATTTTATTAAACGCAATTAACAGTTAAACCGACATGAATCATAACCGCACCGATCTACACCAAAGAACCGGTCTGAACCACCAAGGACCGAAGTGACCGACGATTACCGAGGTCAACATCCCCCGAGACAACATGAACCGAGGTCGTCATCTCCTTAAGCAGGTGACAAGGCATCTACGTGAGGTCCTCCTACTCCACAAGATCTGTCATCATTTACGTGGGACCCTCCGCCTCGAACCGCCCATAAAAAGCTACTTTATTCCAAAAAGTAGTACACGGATCCCGATGTCTCAACCCAAAAACTACTATAAATAGTGGACCTATGACAATTGTAAAAGGATCTCGGTTTTCTCAAATTACCGAACTGTAAACTCTTTACCACATAACACGTAAAAGCCTTTCACGGCTCTTCACCTCGGTTCACCTCGGACCGGGGCCATTGCTGATGCAATTTTACATGCTTTACGTTCAAATCCTTTTAACTTAGTCACTTAAATCATAAATTACATCGTTGTTAACAATCACATAACAACAGTTTGGCGCTAGAAGGAGGGCCTCATAAGTGATTTGAGGTTAATCTCCGCGTTTTCACATAACAGTGCGTATCGGCCATATCTAACATGTCTCACTCAGATCATCGTGGTCACACGTCACGAGACGGCCACAGTCGCAGCGCCGGGCAATCCGCTAGACGGCAAGCCGTAGTTCCACCTGTGCCAGATTATGCTGTTCTGTTTCAGAACCCGGAATTTGCACGCGGTTTTGCCACTTTAATGGCCCAGACGATGCCGGAAACATCGACAACAGTTCCGGGACACTCCATCATTCCCACGACCCCCGCAAACCGACAAAATCAACCGGCACGACACGACGGCGGAAGGACAACGTCTCATGCCACATCTCAGCCTCGTGATCGAATGTCACAACCGCCTCCGGAACAAAATACACGACGCACTGACGCCGGGCGTAATCATCCAATACTTCCCCAAGAGGAAACTGCTGAAAGTCAGTCGGGTCATTTACGACGGACACCGCCTCGCGAGCAGCACCTGCATCCTTCCAATCCGGCGCAAACCGACCTCCGACAG